GAAGTCATAGTGAGTATTCAAGCATTATAATTTTACTTTAAGCAGACAAACTGAAATATTCATTATATCTATGAGGGACGGAAGAAATAACTATTTTATAGAATTGATATAATTAAATCATATAAATATAATCAATAAAGTAAAATTTATAATTACTATACAGTCAATAATGCAATCTATATAATCAAATAAACAAATTATGATTCTGGCTATGTCATAATAATTCATTTAAATAATAAAAGAAAACTTTATCAATGTAGATATATCAAGAAATAATACTGAGCTGATGTTTTCTAATCTGCGATACAATTTATTCGACTCACAGAATATCATTACGTTTTGTTTTGTTTTTAGTTCTAGTAAGTTTTTAAATTTATGAGACTTCTTAAATAAATTATCTGTTGAATGGTGCAACATCTTTATATAGTATAAAATACGGCACGGCATACCTGGTAGCTATCTTTGTTTTCAGATTTAGTGAGAAACAATGTACAATATCTATTTTATTAACATAAAATTCTAATTTAATTTATATAGTTCCTGGGTTTAGTTTTAAATAATAGACTTTAAATAAATTATTTGTTAAAGCTTTCAATATTCATTATAAAATTCATGGTAGATATATTTCTTCTAAAATTTGATTAAATTAGCTCAAGTTAGTAATACTGGGAAGCTACATTTAATTTTTGAAAATGGACAATATTTTTATTAAGCGGAGTAGGTTTTGAGTATTGTCTTAATATACATTATTTTGTCATACATTTATAAACTATAGTCTAGTTTGCCTTGAATAGTTTTCTAGATTTACATGGTTGCTTAATTATCAATAATAAAAACCTAACGATTATCCTGCCAACTGACGCGAGGGGCAGTACCGTCATTAATGTGCGGAATTAGCTCGAGCAGGAAAGGCAAGAGAGTTTTAAGTGTTGAGATCTAAACTGCCAGCTAAGCAGAAACAAAATTAGGTAGCTAAGATCAAAAGTTACATATATAAATTGTTATATTTTCATTTATTAAGGAAACAATAGTCTTTACATTTTAAAGAGTGAACGATAAGTCAAAATGTGCTGAATGAGAATTAAAATCGACATATACGGCGAATGGCTCGTTTAGTTCAAAATTTGCATCCACAGTGATTTTAGAAGGTAAAGCATCTAAACTGCCTGAAAGGCGATCCGGAATAAATTTAATTTAGATTAGGAGAAAAGAAGCAAACAGTTCCATCTTAAAAGTCACTAAGAATATAGTCAAGTATTTCCACGACTAGAAAGTGTAGGTAGATTAATAGTTTTAAACGACTAGTGTTGAGGTATCTAGCCAGCATCCCATTTGAAATGCGCTATATGAAAAGTAAAATTGTTTTAAACTGACTTAACTTGTCAGAATGGATTTGGTAGCTGGGGTTCCGCTACCACAGAGCCATATTCCAATATAGGTCTAACCAAAGTTGTATAAGCGTTTTTAGTAATATACGGACTTAAATTTGTAATCAACGCTAACAAAACTGAGGACAGCTGGCTTTCAAGACCATGGTATCAATATAGAAGACTGAAATTGCTTAGGTCAATATTAACTCAAATCAACATAGTTAAAAATCATATTCTAGAATATGGTGTTTTATTACATAAGAAGAGGGGCGGCCAGATCTACGGAAAGCACATCGTCTTACATTTATTGAGATCTGTCGGCAAATCATTTCTATCACACCATGTCCAATTGTTTGTCTGTCGCAACAGACACCTTCCTCGTAGTTGAAGTGTATGATTTAAAAGCTACTTCGTCGCGCGTATACAAAATTTTGAGTAATTTATTACTGAAGAGATATCGTTAATAAACAATAAGAACAGAATCGGGCCAAGATGACTACCTTGCGGAACACCTGGAAGAAACACACCGGTCTGAAGATGCATCTCAACATCACCTGTTGTGTTCTATTATGTTATAGGAAGATACCCATTGAAGTTTATGTGCTGAGAATCGAGATATTTACTTTATCGAATAACTTTATGCTTGAACTTAACCCTAATCTAATGAGAATACCTACAGGTATTATGTACCACAAAAAAAAAAATATTAGAAACTAAATACTATTTTTAAAACAAACAATACTATACTTATAGAAAACACATACTTATAAATTAATAATCTACATGAAAACAAAAAAGTGTTATTATTGTGTAACTAAATACTATCCTAAAACAAATAAAGTACCTACTATATAGAAAACAACTACAAAATGGAACTGTGTTTAAAAAGTAATATTACGATGATAATTATATCGCATAAACAAATTAGCGCTGCATTCAACCGTTCAGTACAATCATACTTTATTTCTCTGATATTTCTTCGTTTATCCTGGACGCCATTACGCTTCGAAGTTTCCTTACGACTGGAAAAATATACTGCGTGCATTAGCCCTTTTAAACAAATACTCTTTTGAATCCCAAAAATATGGAGTAAAGAAATTATGAATTTTTGATACATAAATATTAGGAAACTCCTGTTATAAATTTGGCCTTGAAAATATTTAGCCCTTTTAAACAAAGACTTTTGAATCCTAAATATATTGAGTAAAGAAATTATGAATTTTTGATACATAAATATTAGGAAATTCCTGTTATAAATTTGGCCTTGAATATATTTAGCCCTTTTAAACAAAGACTTTTGAATCCTATACTCGAGTCGCTGGACTCTTTTTGCTCGTGTGAAAGCAGAGCATGATGCAAGCGTTTACACCATAAAACATGTTCATAACAACATCATGTTTTTAAAATTTTTTAAAAACCATCACACATGTATGACACACGAATTTATTATGTTTACACGCTCATTCTTCTCATCACGCCGCACATGCTTGCATACAAAAATGACCGTGTAAAGGCCGCTTACGGGAAAAATCCAATTTTCGCGGATATCATACCGTACGGTCTGTTGTAGCGGACGGTAGAAGCGGTGGTGACTGATCATTTACATTGCGTTCTCATAAGATAGGTCGCATCAGCTGATGCGGGACACGGTTTTGCGTCGGTGACTGTTTGTGCCTTGAGCCGCGCGGCATGGTATCTCGTTGAGCTACACCCCCCTCCCGGCTTGCCCGCAAGTACCACCACTCTCCCGCCGCGCCGGCCAGCGCAGAGAGCGAGTTGGTTTTGTTTCGGAGCTATTTATCATTGTAATCTTTAAAGTTTTTTGTTGAAATTAAGTTATGTCAAAGACAATTTTATTCACAATGAAGTACTCTTAACCAACAACATATTTATTTGAATAAAGATTAATATTATTATGTTGCTACAACTTAAACAAATTATTTCGACCAAATTAGGTACCATAAAAACGGTTTTTGTGAGTTAATCTTAAAAGATAGACATATACTATCGCGGACTGTTTTTTAGATCATTAAAAGAGCTATTATTCTTTAATACATATTTTTTGTGTATCTTGAACCGTTTTCACAGCGCACGCAACGGAAGGCTTCAAAGATGAAATAATTTCTCCCGTTTTTTACACATTTACCACTATATCTCCTTGCTCCTATTGGTCGTAGCGTGATGTTATATAGCCTACAGCCTTCCTCGATAACTGGACTATCCAACACAAAAATAATTATTCAATTCGAACCAGTAGTTTCGGAGATTAGCGCGTTCAAACAAACAAACAAACAAACAAACTCTTCAGCTTTATAATATTAGTATAGATAAAATTATAAAATTGCCATTCATATGAAATCATTAACTACTTCTAAATATTCTATGCACACTGCGTATAGTACTTTTATATGTTTACTTATTATCATTGTTTCATAGTTTTACGATTTAGCCCATTTTATCTAAATACGACGCTATGAAAATGCAGCCTAATTGGTAATCGCAATATTTCAAAAGAGCATAAGTCAACTTTCAATAGCAAACCACTGCAAAAAGGACAAACGAGACAACATAGCCGACCGACATTGTCGCTAAATAGTCGATTCAAACAAATTTTGTCAACTCCGCCACGATTCACAAAATTTGGTGTCAATATGTATGTGAGCTCATATATGTATGTATATATGTATACGCATAATAAGGAAATATTCAATAAACCTAAACAAATGAACATATTTTCCTGATATATTTTAATTATATCAGGAAGTAAAATATGCTATTAAAGAAATTTAATTATGATATGCTTAGATTCCAATTAATAAAATAAAAAATTAAATAAAATTTCAGTTTCAGGAGTTTTAGGATTCGAACTTATAAGATCGTATTCGGATTGTGCTTCACCCCTTCCCGCTTACGACCTCAGCCGCCACAAAAGTGGAAACGCGACCGCTTAGCCACCGTTTCATTGTTATCCTTTTCGCATATTGTGTGGTGTATTTTTCTTTTTCGAAGTTATATTTTTCGATGTTCCCTCATGTGGAATTACAAATTAGTACTCAAAAAGTTTTCAGTTAACATTTGCTCCTCCTCTATTCATTTACGCTCTCTGGTAACATTTGCGCCTTCTCTATATATTAACATTCTCTGTTCTGACTCTACCGGAATTTTTAATTCGTGACAGGTGGTGCTGTTTGCCATTATAAATTATTAAGCACGGACTAGAACCCAAATCCTAGTGGTATTTACTTATTTGTTCCGTTCGGCTGGTTTTGATAATTTTCTCATGTTTAAAATGAAATACATTAATTTTTTATTTACGTATCTCGCAGGATAGCTTAGATCAAGGAACGTAGAATGAAGCTAAGCTTAGTTTAATAAAAACAAGGAGTCGTCATACATACTTTTTCTTCAAAATTGTAAACAGCTGATGATTAACAATATGTCATTTAAGTGCTTAGTTCTTTTATTATGTGAGAGCTATGGTTTATGTTTAAAACTTTATACTCAGACCTCTATAATTATATATCAAGAAGAAATATTATTGTATAAAGAACATCTAAATACTCAATAATAATCAGTAGAATCTGGCCTAGAAAATAGTACTACCAAAATAGTATGTATAATTGCAACCTTGTCATAGCCACAAATCAACCCGGTTAAATTGCATTTTCAGTGCAGTCATTGTTTCCTAATTGTTAGTTTATCGAAAAATTGCTAATATAGATTTTAGTTCAGAAATTTCAACATATTATTGCTAAAACCGGAGAAAATAATATTATTTTATAATGGAGGCTGTGCCACGTCTCCATATGCTATGGTTTGTTCTTAAAACCAGTCCAACTGGCACTTCCTTCGCCAATTTAAAAAAGGTGAGAAATTACAGGTGGATACTTGGGTGTTTAATTGTTGAACTTTTAATATAGGTTGACCGAAAATTGTATTATTGAAGTAATCATAAATTTAGCTGCTTAATCACAACAAATATAAAGCAATTATTTTCGCTGTTAGAAAGCAATAATATTTGTAGTCAAAACTTTAGATTTTCAGATAGAACAGAATAAAACTGTGTGGTGGTGTGGTGTATAGCAAAATTGGTCGTGAAGATATAAGAACTGAGTCATCAAGTTAAATACGTTTTTTATTATTCTGCCAAACATTATTTAGTCGTAATTGTGATAACTACATAGTTTACTAAACTAATTTCGGCTGAATTCTTGCCTGTCCTTTGCGCGTTTATTACGACGGCAATACTAAAATAATTTTGTTGTACTTAATTTTTAATTTTTCTAAGTTACCTTTTATTTACTTTATATATAATAGTTACAACTTTAATTATTACAATATCAGAAAAAAATCCCGGTAGACTCATTTTTAACTTACCATATTAAATTAAGTTGTAATTGTTATTTTTTTTAGTACATTGCCGAATTTTACCAAGAAGACCCTGAAGCATACTCCAAAGAAGTTTTCACTTTGGAAACGCTTAGAAACCAAGCTTTACATCCCGGTAAAGATAAATGTACGATCCTAAAGCGTTACTATTGTCAACTACACTCATTACAAAACCGATTCCCCCAATTGGCTGAGCGTAGCTTGTTCACCTTCACTTGGAAAGATCTGTACCAAAGCAATGTAAACGAATTTACACAATTGCGCTACGAGATGGCCGCTGTTCTTTTCAATATCGCAGCTTCTCATACACAAATGGGTGCATCAGTGACTCGCGGGGACGTGGATGGTATGAAATTGGCTTGTACACATTTTCAATGTGCGGCTTGGGCTTTTGGCGAGTTGCGTGAGCATTATAGTAATGTTAACGGCGGTGGCGATTTCATGGCAAATGAATTGCTGGTTTTCATGCAACAAGTGTCATTTGCTCAGGCGCAAGAGTGTATTTTAGAAAAATCATTGATAGACAATCGGAAGCCCAATATTGTGGCAAAGGTTACAGCACAAATAGTAGTTTACTATGGCGCCGCACTAACCGCCCTACTAACAGGTGGTGATGATGGACAAGTAGCACAAGTTGTTGACAGTTCTGTGTTTAAGCTTTGGAAGAAATATGTGCGCTTTAAAATATCCTACCTAAACTGCATATTATATTTGTATCAAGGACAACAGGCAGAAGAGCAGCAGAAAATGGGAGAAAGAGTAACACTTTATCAGGTAATTTTAATATAATACAATAAGCAACAAATGACGAATAATTGTATCTATAGGCTGCTGCGGATAAGTTGGAAGAAGCTCGTAAAGAGTCTAAAGGTTTACCCGATCAAAAGGAAATTAACGAATCGCTTATATTCACCGCTGATGTTGTAGAAGGAAAACGAAAAAATGCTAAGAACGAAAATGAGTTTATTTATCACGAAGCAGTGCCGGAATTGTCTTCTATACCTACAATACAAGGAGCAAATTTAGTAAACGGCACAAGTTTTAGTGTCACCGACCCAGAGGTAGCTGGAGAAGATATCTTTGCACGCCTTGTACCAATGAAGGCACACGTAGCTAGTTCGTTATATAGTGAAGAAAAAGCAAAGTTATTGCGTAAATTTGGCTCTAGCATAGAGGAGAAAGATGCTGAACTGGCAAGTTTCATGAGTTCCCTCAACTTGGATAATCTTAATATTAATGAAGAAAGAGCCAACAAAATTCCACAAGGAATTGTCGACCGATGTGCAGAGTTAAATGCAAACAAAACAGCAATAGCGGATCTAATTTCCGCCATGTCCCAATTAGCTGAGATATGTACCGATGTTGAATCAAATTTGAAAGAGATAGCCACCATTCTCGCCGAAGAAGATAATCAAGAAAGTGAATTTCAAAAGCTTATTGGCGTGCAAAGAACACCCAATCCACACATAACCGAGTTGACGCGTGAATTTCAAAAATATACCGAAGCACATTCGCGCGCTGGTGAGTCTAATGACACACTAAGGAATGCAATGGAGCTACATGTGAATAATTTAAAAATACTATCGCGTCCTCTAAACGAGATACAGCAATCTGTGCCGAAATTAAGTGCAGAACTTAACACAACGGAAGTTTTTAAAGATGTTAAATTAATTTTAAACAAAGCTAATGAAATGAAAGCACAACGTGCACAATTTCATGCTGATTTACGCATCGCAGTGAATGAGGATGATATCACAGCTAAAGTAATTGCACATGGCAGCGATGAGGGTCTTCAACTACTCTTTGACCGTGAGTTAGCTAAACATGAACGTCTAACGCAGCTTTTGGATCAAAACATGCTTGCTCAAGAGAATATTTTACAAGCGCTGACAGAAGCTTATGCCAAAGCTGCGCCAATACTGAAAACGCTTACTGATGTTAAGCATAAACGTGAAGCATTCTTCTCATCTTTAGCTGCCTCTTACGATGTATACGAAGATTTATTAGCCAAATCTGCAAAGGGGTTGGAATTTTATAAAAAGTTGTCAGGTAAGCAGCAATTTGGAAATTTGTATTCATTTTAGAGCCGCTAATAATTTCACTTTACAGGAAATGTTCAGAAACTGTTGACCCGGTTAAAGGCAGCACGTGATGTGCAATCGGAGGAACGTCAGCAACGACTGAAAAATCAGCATAAAACAACTAATCCAAACGCAAATACTGCAAAACCAGCCACAACAATTACTTCGTCTGCTCCAACAACGTCGATAACCCCCAAATTACGTGATTATTTGAAATCTAAAAACACCACAGCAAGTAGCATAGCTGCAGCCGGTGTATCCGATGGTATATCAAGTAACACAGCACATCAAACCGCTCAATACATTCCGCCAGTTCGTCCCAATCCTTTAGGTTCAGAAAATCCTACACAAGCTGTTTGTTCCTCCGGTAATCCCTACACTACGCACGTCATGAATCCTACTGGAGCTGTACCAGCGGTGGCGCCTAACGAACCGCCACCACCATATAGCTTACAACAACAACAATATTATGATCCTAACATCGCCGGCTATACAAATCCAATGTACCAACAACAACAGCAAAACATTGCTCCGCCAGCTTACAAATTGCAAGCATCTCCAAACTCTCAATTTGCCAACGTGAATGCAAATGTACCAAATTTAACGGGTAGTTACAATAATACCGCCGGTATAGGACACACTCAGCAACAACAAATCCTGTACATCCAACAACAACAACAACAGCAGCTGATGCAGCAAGCTGTGGGTGGCACTGTAAATTATGGGCAGCAGTCGTTATCTCTAAATCCTATTGGAGCTTATGGAACAAATGCAAGTACTTTAATGCCAACGCAGCAAAGCTTAGTAGCTGGTTCAAATATTCCACCGGCTACTGGACCTAACAGCAACGCATACTCTTATAATACTAACGCTGATGCGACAAAGACTTTTATAGCACAATCGTCGGTGCAGGGAGCTTTCGCCAGTCCGCCCCCTGGAGCCAGTGCAGCGCCACCTCAGCAAACAAATAACTACACCAATCAAATGACTAATGTATGAGTACTCAAAATTATCATAAACATTTAAACGGTTATTTGTAATATACTCTCTTGTTTTTCAGTATCAACAATCGTATTCCCAAGTGGCAGGAGCTAACTTTGGCATACCCACCTCACATCCCCTATATGTAGCAACTACCCAATCGGATAGTGCCAAAGCGGCCTGTGGCATAGCACCGCTGGAGCTGCAAGCGCCGTATGCTGTGAATACTTTGCAGCAATCCCCTTATTCAGGAGCAGCCAACAGCAATGCGCCAGCATCTCAAAACCAGCCGAACAATACTTTACAGCAGTTTCCACAACAACAGCATCAGCCTCCTAAACAACAACAACCTATTTATCCACATGCTAATGGTACAGTAAACGTTGCTAATAGTGAAACTAGCTCAATTCTCGCGCCTGCTCAACCGGGAGTTCAGATCACCTCTGCTACACCAAACGCTGCAACTAATATGCAGCCTTACTCTACGGTCACTAAACATCCCGGATATAGCTACAATCCACAAACGGGTCAATATGAATACGGCAGTGGTTATCAGCAGGCTAATAATAAGTATTGTGGGAAATATACATCGTCAAGCACACCACAATCTGTCACCGTTGGTACTACTGACTCAGAAAATGCGAACAAGATAAATGTTGCAACTGGTTTTGATGTGAGTTAAACTTGTCAATTACAAGAAGCCTGATTTTAAATTTATCACGTTTTTCAGTCACCTGTTATATCCCATACTAAACAAACTGTGGCACCGGCTGTTGCAACAGCGGCCGATGCACCGAACACAGATAAATCGTCTAATTTAAGTTACTACTCGGCCCCGTATGGTTATCAAAGCCAAGGCATTGCATCTCCTTACGTCTTACAACTGCAGCAGCAACAACAACATCAACAACAGTCACTAGCTGCGGCACAACAACAGCAGCAGCAGCAAAAGCCGCAACAAACCAATTACCAACAACAACATTCCACTTATATACAAAGTGGTGCTGCTTCTATAGCGCCCACACATACAACAAAAAGTGCCTCCGAGTACTCCTTCGGTGCAACACAAGCGGCAATGCCACCAAAGATAGAGAGTCCCGCACCTACAAAAGATGTAAAGGCCGGCACAGCTCCGCCACAGTCTAACGTTGAGACAAAACCCACGGTGAAACCCATTAAGAAGTCAACCAATATTGATTTGTTGACTGATATAGATTTTTCCGGCTCTGGGCTAGCCGTACCACCGCCCATATTGCCGCAGCCAGTATTGAAGCCAGAAATTGTAGCGAGTCCGCCAAGTAGCCAAGTGGCCGTTGAAGTTAAGCCAAAAGAAGAGGTAACTAAACATTAGCTCACACATACGTAGTCTTTCTCACACAAAGCACTTTTAGGCAACACCGCAGAAACACTCTACAACAACATTAGCAGCGCCAATAACTCCACCCAATCAGGCAGAGGTGCCACCAACTCTAACTGCACCCCATTCACCCCCGTTAGCAAATGCAAAAACCGGAGGTTCGCCTATTAATTCGCCGGCTACACGAAAACCCAGTTTTGATAATCTTTCCATTTGCTCAGATTTGAGTTCGCTTGATACGAACTTCGATTGGGACTCGGTTTCTGTGCGTAACGAACAGCCGTCAGATAAACATTCCAATTTATCCACAAATTCCACAACTTTCCAGTTAAAACCTTTCGATCCATTTAACGACGACAATATTTTGAAATACTTTCACAAAGAGGTTGAGCGTTACGAGAAGATAATCGAGAGTCTCAATGTAAAAATGCTAAACGGAAATACACAATTGTCAGCGAAATGGAAGGAGCTACAAGATCTACTTGCTAAGGAGACCAATAAACGTACAACAACAATTGCTAAATTGTTTCCAGAGAAGAATCGTTCGCTAGACTGCATTCCATATGATCATGCACGCGTAAAATTGGATAAAGACACGGACGACTACATAAATGCCACATATATCAAGGTATTACTCTACTTGGAGATTTGTTCAAACAAAATATAGATATGTAACGGTAAATGTTTTTAGAATCTTGGCACTGGCTGTCCGAACCTGATAATAGCACAAACCCCTCAGCAAAACACCATCAATGATTTTTGGTCTATGATTTGGTCGCAAAAAGTGCGTACAGTCTGTTGCTTGCATACACCAAATGAGGTGAGTAGTAGAAAAATTTGTTTTCTTCAATATATAATCAATTTTGCCAAATATTGTCAGATGTTGGATCCTTACTGGCCACAGAAGTGTGAGGTTGAAAACCATTACGATGATTTTACTGTGAAATGTGTTAAAGTAACTACTTTGTCCCATTGCGTGGAATATAACCTAAAATTGTCGATGCACGGCGCTGATGCGATAATTGGTTTGTCGGTGCTGCAAATCAAAACTTGGACCAAAAGGTAGATAAACATGATTTTAACACATATTCAATGAATTTATGATATCTGAACTAATTCATCTCTTCTATAGCTTACCTTCGCAAACTATAGGCATTGCACGCAACGCTTTGCAGGCGCATCAACAACGCTGCCTGGAGTTTAACACACCAACCTCGCCATTAATAATGAATTGCTTAACTGGTTCTGAACGTTCACAACTTATTGCCATAGCAATTTGCGCTATCTTAGCTTTACAAACGGTTCGACCAGTACTCATAAGTATAAATATAGCAATGTTTTGCATATGTGGTCAAAATATTTTATTATTTGTATAATTTTGCAGATGTCGTCGATATTTGGTACCGTATATGTATGCAACGGCAGAATGCTTTGCGTGATATGGAGACTTTGGAGCAATCAATGCAAATTGTTCTCAATCATGCGCATGATGTTCTCAATAAACGTAATTAAAATATTTGTACATACATGCACATACCTGTACTCAACCCTCTTTAATCATTCTAGGCGGCATCATGACCTCTTATCAAATGAAGATTGCACCTCAGATTGCTTCGAAGGAGAAGGAAGAAATTAAGGATCCACTAAACGAGCTCGATCCGCTGTGGAAAATGAAGTAGACATAATAGCCCACACTTCTGCTGCATTTGCTTGAGGTCGCTTTGACTGATTGTGGCAATCTTTTAGGCTTTACACTTTGCCCACGCGATTCAATCGATTGAATTCAAAAGAGAAAAAAGTAAATAATTGCAACGCAAAGTAAAATCATTGTTAAAAACCAAGTTTTTTTATTAAAACAACAAAAACAAATTATTTAATTATAATCGAAGTATTAAACATCAAATGTTACACTTCAAATTACATAAACTTTAAAACTATTTACTATTATTATACATACATATTTATTACATATTCGACGAACGCAAAATAAATTTAAATATAATAAAACGTATGTATATGAATATTGATGAAAAATTAGAAAGTCGTATTTTCAATTCGATATTTTTGCAATAAATATAGTCCACTGATCTCTAATCTGGATTCGAATAAAACTCATTATTGTGGGTTTTTTAACAATCATATTTATTTATTAACACATATATAAACTGTACTCTAATGATTTTAGTACTTTACTAACTCGAAACTCAACTACATCAACAAATAATTACACGATTGCTAAAAGCAGACATCAAATACAAAGCATATTGCCTATTTTCATAGCATTTAGGTGTTTGTTTCGAGTTATTTCACAATACAGCGTATGACACTATTTATGTATTTACACCGATTTTTATTATTAGTTTTTAATTAAATATCAGCAGTATAGCTTCCAAGTGAAAATAAATTATGATACAAAAGGTTTAATTATTTTCGTTTATATAATAATAAATGTTAAAAAAATAAATATCAATGACATTTTCAATTTGTTTTGGTTTTCTGTTTGTATTAAAGAACCATTTCCGAAGTTGAAACTCTACACACGAGTTTTTCAACAAACAAATCTATTTTGATAATTACAAATATTGTATGCGTATATATTCCTTTCGTATTATTTTATAAATAATGTAAACTTTCGTTGACAATTTCTATGTAAAACTACAATAGTTACCAGCCTCACTTCATAGTTAATGTATGCATTTAAACAAGAGTTATGTATTTGTAAATAACGTATTAATAATTTTATACAAAAGCGGGGTTTTTTAATATTTACGATTCTATATTTCTATGCGCTTATTTTAATTATTCGAGAACATTTTGTATTTCAGTTAATATCAGACAACTTTCTTTTGTATACCATGATCAGGGTATATTAAGTTTGCCACGAAGTGTGTAACACCCAGAAGGAAACGTCGGTGACCCTATAAAATATATACATAAATGATCAGTATGATGAGCTAAGTTGATTTAGCCATGCCCGTCTGCCTGCCTGTCCGTCCGTCAGTCTATATATATACGAACTAGGCCCTCAGTTTTTGAGCTATATATGTCCTTTCCTCACCAAGAAGCTGCTCATTTGCTGATATCGGATCATTATAGCATATATCTGCCAATCAAACTGAACAACCCGAAACTCTTTCATTTGACGAGGTATCCACGAAATTTGGCATGAGTTCTTTTCTAAGGCAACAATGTAATCTCTGAAGAAATCGTTTAGATCAGATGACTATAGCATATAGCTGCCATATTAACTGAACGATCGGAGTAAAGTGCTTGCATGAAAAACTTTTTCATTTGACGAGGTATCTTCACGAAATTAGGCACGAGTTATCGCTTAAGGCAACAAATTATTAACCGCAGAAATTGGTCAGATCAGATCGCTATATCATATAGCTGCCATACAAATTGAACGATCGGAATCAAGTTCTTGTAGGGAAACTTTGGATTTGTGAAGGGTATTATATCAATGCAACCGAAGTTAACGTTTTTTCTTGTTTTATCATCAAAACCACAACTGTATGCATTGAAAACTAACGATGCTATTATTATTTCTGACTACCATCTTTGATGTCTAGTACCAGTGAGTAGTCTATTTTGGTTCAAGTCAATCATCTGCTTTTGGTTGAAGGATATCACTATCACTTGTAAATTTGGGTGTTACATTTTCGTAATTAACTTTTACGTTGTGAAAAGTGCAAATTTAAAATGCGTTTTGCTTTCAAAAGTGCTAAAAAATTTAATTGCAATCGAATCAAAGACGAAACACAGCATAATATATTTGCCGTTAAAGCAAACTCTTTACTTTTATCCCATAAAAGACGTTTATATTTACATCACTCCTCGCAGATACTATGAAAATATATATTGAATACCGTATTTTCGTACTAAGTCAACAATTAGTTTTTTTCAGGGACCGTTACAATCGACATACAAAAACAGATAATGTCAATCCTTTTCCGACCATCTCAGAATTTGGGTGATGATTTTTTAATTTCGGATTTTTATAATTTCCTTCACCGATAATGATAAATTTTGATTAATTTTAGAATAAATCATTATTTTTTAGCAAAAAAAAAGTAAAACTCAATTTTAGATCACAGATGTCTAATGAAGTTTTTTGCTAACTTCGTTGCATGTCCTTTTAGAACAAATATCAAGGATCAAATTTATGTTATGGTATTGTTTCCTTTCGGTCCTTCAGAAAATTAGAAAAAATCTAATATCTACCGAAAATTTTACTCATAGTAAATATGTTCTGGTTTGCATTACTATTACAAATTGTATCGCTATCGGATATGAAATATGAAAAGATATTCAAAAAGAATTTTCTGTTATTAAAAAATAGAAAAGAAAGATATAGATTAAGAAACCTGTGAAGTAAAAATGAGTTCTATTCTAAGAAAAATATAAAAAATAAAATCAAAAGTAATGATTATTTGTTTAAAAATATTAATAATTATTTATTTATTTATTTTATTATCGGTGAAGGAAATTTTAGCACTCAATATATAATCATTATTATGTAATTTTTAAAATAAAACTTATGATTACGGGCTCCGTTTTTTTCAATGTTACTATATTTGTTATGGAAGTTTACGTCACTTGCAGGTTGTCTATTCTGAGGCCGTTATTGCCATGAACACCCTATAAAAATACGTATATACTTAATAAAAATATATCTGTCCTTCTAGCACTCGAGAGGAAGTGTCATTGCTAAAACATAACTCCAAACCTTCAAAAGATTCTTATAGTGTTTGAATTTTAGAATTCAAAATATTTATCAGATAATTTATTTCATATATAGACACCTCTGGAAAGGAATCTAGATTTAATATCAAATGTTATGGAAATAGTTTTTTTTTTAAATTAAATATAGTGCCAATAAAATGAAAAATATCGGTGCTAGCTTGTCAGCATGATGGAATGGAAATACAAAAATATAATTAATGAACTACTTTTGGGTAAAATGTTTTAAAATTCTTGATAAAGCGTACAATCAATTTAATGTATTTCAAAGGTGACTAAGTGTTATATACAAATTCTTAAATTGATTAAATATTCATATGATTATATTTAATTTGGTTAATGGTGATTCCTTCTTAAGGGGCACACCTAGTGGGAAATTAAAAAAAAAAAATTGATTTTTTAGAGATTCCATATTTCGATAATTTATACCTTTAAAAATAACGTACTAAAATGTAAATCGATATCTCAAAGAGTTTTTGAGTTACAACCATTTAAAGTGTAACCGCTCAGTTCATTCAGCTTGATCAGTTTACTCGAAGACAAATGATCCATGATCATAATTTTTTTTGGCTCTTCTGTATATAACTCTACATACAATGATCTATCCGTTTTTTGATCTGATCAAATAAATTTAATTTTGGCGGGCCAAAATATAGTCGTATTCAGGAGTGGAGGACCTTTGGTATAGCGCCATCAGAGATCTCGTATAGTTAAAAAAATATTTAATTTGACTAAATTAATTTCACGATATCGATACAGAAGTTTTTTTTTTAATTTTCGACATTTTTTAGGCTGTAACACTATATGTGACCTTGAAAATAGTAAACGCGGTGCTAATTTATTTAGAAAGTTAATGCATATGGTTTAACCGAAGCAAACATTATACTTTGCATTTAATATCTACACTCTTGAAGAGAGTGCAATTTACGCGCACTTTACAAATTTTTTAATGAGTAATTTATTAGTTCTGTTACAAAAAATTACGTTCTTAAACTCTAAGCAGAAAATAATACCAAAGTAGTACATATAATTCTATTTAATATAATTTATACAGAAGCTGGATTTTATTTCACAATATAAAATCAATGCTAGAAACTTCTTAATTTATATGTTATATTTATATTCCTTTCTTCTAAAATTGTCTAATTATATTAAATGTTTTTACATACGAGTATGTTTAAATGAAATATTTTTAAATCAATTGTACCAACTAGTTATGCACAATTAATTCAGAATGGTTTTAGAAATGAGTTCACACGGTTATTTTATACATATATACTTGAATATTTTCTATAAAAAGAGTTGTGTTACGAATACTTTGCAAAAGAAAAGTTTGTTTTATTGTTATATTCTTTTTACCACTTATATCCAATTGTTTTACTAACATTTTCAATGATATTTAGATTACAAGCTATATGTGTCAAAATTCGAACACGGACTTGCAAAATATGGACCTTCTAATGATTTCCACGAAGCTTTAAAGTCTAAACTTTTATCTATTTGACAATATGAATATATTTTTACTGTACATTAAGGTCTTACATTTAAGTGTTTTTTAATTTTTTTTTTAATTTTAAGTAAAAAATCTCAACAGAATCCAAAATATTTTCACATCTTTACGCATTAAAGCAAAGGAAGTACGGTGACATATACGTATGTATGTACCTATATAAATTCAACTTAGAGAGTTACGATAATTCAACAGAAAAAAGTTGGTTTCCACTTCAAGCTTGCCTCTACTCCGGTTTGAAAAGAAAAACAACTTTTTGAACTTTTAGCATGGAAACAAGCACTCTCGAAATCAAAAAACTTCTTAGCATCGAAATCAAGGTCTTGAACTGATTTCGATTTCGGCAAATGTGATTTAATGGAAATGCAGGGTATAGCCAATTATATAATGAACTCAAATACACTTCGCTTGATGCATTTTTGGAAATACCCCATAGGCACAGATCCACAATTACCTTTTCTTATGGCTAGAGAATTTACGATAAAATATGATGAAAATGCATATACTCGAATATATAGGTATGTACATATAATTATGTATGAAAAGTTTTCCCAAAGATTAATTATATGTGTCTAGTTCGTTTCTATGAATCTAAAAACAAAAAATTTCGAGTTCAATTTGGTTGTAAAAAGAAGGAAAAATATTCGAGATAGAATATAGTAAACAACTAATTTGTATAGGGTTTATAAATATCACGAAATCGTTCCGGCTTAGCAACTAGGTATATTAATATCAAATTAATAATAAACAACAGAGAAACAACACATTTCGCACAATAAAAGAGGATGCCATAATTATGTAAACTATGTGTTTTACAATAGTTGCTGTAAAATTTTACCCATTAATTAATCAACATACTTTATGTTCAATTTTATTTGGTCACAAATATTTTTTTCGTTAAGCTATTTATGCATGTCGCTATGCATAAATTAATTCTGAATTCAGTTTGGTTATACCATCAGTGCAACAAGCAATATTTTCTTTTTTTTTCATTTCGTTTCGTTTGTCAGTTTTTCTACATACCAACGCTTGGTGGAAGTTCGTTGATGTAAGCCTATCTTCGACAAGTTTTTTTCAATGACCCCTTTTAGCTCGGATTCGTTTTTATATTTCCCGCAATGGTATAGCTCCGATGTTGTAACAATCAGCTGGTCGTGAAAGACTTATCGGCACCGCTGCCCGCACCATTGCTCGTTTCGAAATCAATTTCACTCAAAAGCGCCCAATTCTCGCTGTCACCATGTACATGTAAACGTATCTCTTTGATGGCGCCAATTCTTGCATCGATTGCTCCCTCTGCGACACCGAAACCATCGAATGCACCCACTATGAGAAATTCATCCGTTGTAGAATTGTACACACTCCATACGGATGAATTTTCGCTTAAAGTATCGGCAGGTAACACTTCAACGGTAGTGTTGTAGAATCGATCCGATGGATGTTCACTATTACCGCTACGAAAGAGATAACGTCGTAGTAGTGTTGGCTTTTCAAATATGAAGCTCACCAAATCACCAGGTTGAGGCAGTAAACCCCAAAAGTATGTTTCACCACGATATGCGCGCTTTAGCAAATAGTTTTTGTAGGCGACAATATTCGATCGAACCTTTGCTGGTGGATTATGCATGTGCGGATGAAATGCTGGTACTTTGGAGCCAAATTGTTTATCCTTCAATTTTTGCACTTTTCCCTTGAGTGAAGAACTAGTGCCGATGTGTTGGAATAGTGATGGCCGATAGTGCAGCCAATATTTGGCTCGTTCCAAATTGCAGTGCTTTTGATCTTTGTCAGAGCGACATACTTTTGACTCGATAAAATAGTGTAGCAACCAATCGACTGGTTTATCATTATAGAACATTTGGAAATATGTAATTAGATATGGCAATTCGGCCGATTTAAACATTTTACCAATGAAACCCAATTGACAAAAGTCGAGCAAAAACCACGAAGGCTGGTCGGGTTTTGTTAGAGCGCTCTTGGTTATAGCATACTTTTTCATGGCGGTAATAAAATGTGATTTGGCTAATATATCGTCTTCCAATTGGACGTAGAATGTGCCTGAAAAGGTAAGGTTTCTAATTATTTTTATCGGTACTGGAAAAATTTATTTATTTATTATTTAGATTATTTATTTATTTCAATAACAAACGCCGATCGGCTATATACATAAAGATAGATAAACACTTTTTAACGTATTACATAAGTGAGTTATGGTTATTTATTCATTAACAATTCGCGGATCTTTGAGTTAAAAGTAGTAGTAGTAGTTCTAGGCCCATGGTAGACATAGCTTTTAGTTGTTCTGAATGCGGTTAACAGTCTAGCATTTCTTAGCCCTGGTCTATGTGCAGTAAACTGGAATTGTTCAAGAAACTGACATTATTAATCCGTTAATTACTTTATAGAAGAATGTCAGATCAACAGCTTGTCTACGGTTGAGTAGATTGACGATGTTGAAATGCTTGTAGACATCTCCGGTGCTCATCAGCGAACCCCGGGTGTACATGTAGTATGCAATAAATTTACAAAATTTTCTTTGAATTTTTTCAACCCTGACGACTAGTACCTGGGTGTAATTTGACCATATAATGCTGCTGTATTCCAGGATCGGACGAACGAGGGAGTTGAAAAGGTATAGAATTGTATGTACATCGCTGAACTCTCTACCTGTTCTTAGTATAAATCCAAGCGTTTGAAAAGCTTTTGATATTGTTTTGCTTATATGCTCAATAAAGTTGAGCTTATTGTCGACTATCACACCTAGGTCCTTCACAGAAGAAACCTCTGTTAGGTGGTGTAGAGGTGAAGGCTGTATGCTAGCAGATGCTGAGAGTGTGAGCGAGAGAGGCTGTACCACATTTACTTTTATTTAGTTTTAATTTATTTAAATTGCACCAATTGTATCACGCTGGAGACTGACGCTGGAGACTGACCGTATCTTCGATGCTGTTTATCCTTCTGAATCCTTTTAGATCGTCTGCAAACATAAGATATTCAGAACTGAAATTATCACCAATATCAATAATAAATATAATGAAGAAAATGCGTCCTAGGTGAGAGCCTTGTGGAACAACAGACGGTACTTCATACTCACTTGAGATATAACCGTTTACGCGGACCTGTAGGGTTCTACCTGATAGATAAGATCGTATCCAATCTAAAGCTTTATCTCTAACTCCGTAAAAATTTAGTTTATTAATAAACGTCTCGTCGTCTACTATATCAAAGGCTTTGGAGAAGTCAGTGTAGATAGTGTGAGTACTGAGACCATGGTTCATTGCATCCAGAACGTAGGTAGTATATAAATAGAGATTGGCAGTGGTGGATGAATCCATGTTGCCTTGAACATATTATATTCTGAAATGCTGTGGTGATCTGGGTTAGAACTATTTTTTCAAATAGTTTAGACAACGACGATTGAATACAGATTGGCCTGTAGTTGGATACATCCCATCTGGATCCGGACTTATGTATAGGACTAATAAATGAGATCTTCCATGCTGATGGAAACATGCCTGATTCCAATGACTCACTAAATAGATGTGTAATCGGCTCTGCGAGTCCAGCTGCGCAGTTTCTCAAGAACTGATTGGGCAGTTTATCAGGACCGGCTCCTTTTTTGGAATCAAGTTTCCTCAATTGTTTGTACACGTCATCGTATGATACATTTAGTTCAGAAAGATTTACGTCATGTCTTGAGGTACGACTAGGACTTGTTGAAGTCTGGTTGTTGTTGATGTCGTGAAGATAAGTGCTTTTGAAGAAGGAGGCAAACAAATCGCAGACTTTCTGTCCGTTGTCAGCAGTAAAGTCGTTCCAGTGAACTGTAGATGGGATTTCAGTGTCACTTTTTCTTCTGTTCTTGACGAAGCTCCAAAAACTGCTGGCATTATTTTTTATCATATGTTCAGTTTTAGTTAAGTAGACTTTGTAACACTTTTCATTAATGTTTTTACACTTACGCCGAAGTCTGCGAAAAACGTTGTAGTAATAACGATATTTAGTTTTTTTATATCTAGTGTGTGCTGCTGTTTTTTTTTTTTGATTTCATAAATCAATTCATTTGAAAACCATGTGGGAAAATTATTAGACTTTTTGTAGCGAGTAGGTACGTATAGCTCGATCCCTTAATATAATTTGTCATAAAACCAGGTAACTTTATCATCCAAGGCTGTAATTTGATACAATTCTATTCAGTTGCTGGACATAAAAAATTCATTCAACCCAATGTAGTCTGCTTCGTTGAATATCAGTCTGAGAGAAATATTTTTCTTGAGATTAGCTTGGATATCAGCATGTATTTCCAATGCTGGATGATGATAGTCTTTATTGATGAGTGGGTCTGCTCTGCTGACTATAACATTAGTATCGCTAAAACAAAGATCAAGAATTTTGTTATTGGTGTTGCAGTTTGAATTAAATTGTTGACAATTAACCAGGGACATCTCGTTATACAATACATTTTCGCAGAGTGCTTGAGGATAACTGCTGGGCAAATTAAAATCACCAAGCGAGAGTAACTTACAATTAGGATACTTATATTTTAAGAACGATATTGTATTTGTATGGCTGATATAGGAATCAAGTGGCGATAGAGGCGGTAGATAGGTGCACCCGACTATGAGGTCGCTGTTAGTACATTTTACTTTAATAAATAACTGCTCAATTGCATCTTCACTATGTTCGATTATTGTCTGTAACCTCCCCAGACGAGATGGATTCATTTAACCAAGTTTCACTTATGCAAATTATATCACTACTGCAGCAGGCTGATGAGGTTAAGATGGGTTGATCAGATAAAACTAAAATATGGAGGTTGAATACCTATGGTGAAATAGTAAAATTGAACTATTTGTATCTCATTAGAAGTTTTAGAATAGTCTGAACAAAACACACATCTGAAAAAATTTTAGTTTTGTGATTGGAAGACGAGACCGTAGAGCATAACATTATTATTAAAATTCAATTCCCGCGGCAGTCTAGTCTATGTCACCAAAACTGACTTGCACTTATAAACATAGGATCAAGGACTTTCAAGTCGGCAGCATTCCTCAATTCATTTCGGAATGTTTTTAACCGTTACAACACTAGCATGAGTAAATTTTCAAAACGACGCGATTCACAATAATATTTTTTTGTATAATATTTAGTTTTATTTACAAAAAATAAAATTATAGTTTAAAAAACTACGCATTAAAGAAATTTTTAAACCTCCTCCTGAAAATTAATGCTTATGGCGCATTTATTTCGTCAGTTATCGCACTTTTAGTATATTTTAACATAACTGTTATATAAGGAGTAAGCGTGGTTATTTTCGGATTTTGCCCATCTCCACAGCATATGAAAAAGAGCTAAAATTACTTCCTCTCAGCAAATTTGGTTGAGTTAGCTTTAGCGGTTTGGAAGATATATACATTAAACTATTTAAGGGCGGGGTTACGCCCACCTTTAAAGTAATGAGAAACTGTTATCAAATTATTGGATATTGTCTTCGGTCCTTGACACGTCTGCAAAGTTTCAAGTTGATCAGACTTCTGGAAACCGATAAAAATTAAGCTCAAAGATTCCATTACATACAAACAACCCAAGCTAATAAAAACCTATTAATATGTAGGTATTGTTTTATACTGCTACAATAACAAATTAATCATTAACTGTTTGCTGGAATTAAAATAATTTTTTAACGTCTTACCTTTGGATTGTGCGTAGGACATCAAGTACGCAAAGTCCAAATTTTGCTTACTACGCCATTTCACACGCTCCAAAGAGTCCTGTAATGTTATACGCAATGAGTCGAAATTTGGATAATACGACGGCGATGGTGCTATAATATCAATGAGGCCACAATCCACAAACGCTTCGAAGTTCAACTCGACTTGTTTGGCGATTGCATGCACAACTTCCTCCTCTGATTCGCCAATGAACACAATAATCAACGTCTCATTTTGCTCCTCTTCATTCATGTTTTCAATGAGGTTCTGCAATGTGCTCACCAAATACGTCTGCTTCTCACGCCTCACCGTCGGTATGCCTAATACAATGCTAACATCTGTTCGACCCTTCGTACGTATATAAGCCGGACGCAGTGATGTTGCATCATCAAGCAAATGTGGAAGAAAGTTGTAGGACGTCGGCAATCTAATGACAGCAGATGAACTGAAGAGCTGTGTTGTGTGGGAGTGTGTCGCGTTTTTAATTAATTGCCTTGCTTCTGGGCTCAACGATTGCAGTAGAGTGGGCAAACCTGACGCAGGCATTGCTGATGTGCTCGTGTTCATATCATTTACCGGCGGCAATGGCGCTACAGACGACAAAGTCATTTTGGTCGCATTACTTAGATGTAAATACTGTGAAAGTATAGCCACATCTTCCTGCCGCGATCGATACATGGACTCAAGGTACTGCAGACGGAAACGACATTCGGCCAATTGTTGTGACAATGACTGTTCGGTGGATAGTTCTGGACCCATAACAAATAAGATGATAAGACAGGGCGTTAGCACCAGCACGGCGATCATTAATATACAGTTCCGTTCACGTAATTTGAACATTTTCGTTGTGATTTTACGGCTGCGCGTTGGTAGGACTAGTGGATCAAGATCTGCGTGTTTGCCACCGTTAACCATTACACATTAATGTGTTAATCACCTTAAAACGTTTTATACTTTATGACAGGAAATTCACAGACTTTCGTTAGTGCTGTGCAATCTGTTTTGTTTTGAGTAGGTTTCAAAAAGCTATATCAATTCGTATAGTGCGTTAAATGTATATATAGTCCGTTCAATTTAACTTAAATTTTAATAGTTCAATTTGCTAAGTAGAAAAATTGTTATGACCTATACTTAATAAGAGACCGTTGCTGGAAATATTAAATGTGTTTCTAGTAGAGCTTTATAGTTTAGCTTTATACACGGCGTCTTTTGTCTCACTTTAGTTAACGTTAAATGCAGCTGTTGTTGTTCTCATAAGCCGCTTTGCTTTGCTTATCCAATCGATCGCAGTTGTATGGATGTATTTATGTGAATAGTTCATATGGACTTCTGAGGCATAAGAAAATTAACAATTATTATAACGGCACTCAAAATTTTTGAACTATTTAATATAATATATTTTGTAAGTTCTGTTATCTATATATATAAAAATTACGAGTCACGTTTTCCCGGTAAGTTCTAAACTACTGAACAGATTATAGTAAGTTTAGTCAAGTTTGATCCAACTTAAAAAATAGCATGTGCGCAAATTAAAAAAAAATTATAATTTCAGTAAAATGCCAAATGGAACATTCAATATTTTCTCTATTGGAAAAATTTGTTCCAATCATTTTCAAAATTAAACCCTAAGTACAATCCCTTGGATTCTTACACCGGCAATTCCCTCTTATTATAAATATTTAGCTTAATTAAATAGTTGATTAAAAGGTATCCCATCGGATATGAATATATATTTTTTGTTATTGCAATCAAAAAGGCATGTTTCTAGAGTATCCAAACCCCAAAAGCGCTAGTGATGCTATTACGCGCAATATTTGCGAAAGACACTATGGAAATGTGCAAGGGTGTACCTAACTTAAACTATATCTCCTCAGGTTGAATACTCCCAGAAAACTTCGCTTGGCGCAAAGATTTGCTACCATATCAATACAACATAATATGAACTAGCCATGGTATTAATCCTGGGTTCATACCAACTCAAGCTAATATTATTCCACGTGCAATATGCTTCGGTTGTATCTGTGCCAAGTTCAATATTTTTGACATTGTATATGGTCCGCCAAGGTAAAACAAAGCAAATAACTTTTTTCTTAAAACAATCTTTGGGCTTTACCATAAAATTTAAAATAGACACATAGCTATGTATATTTGCGTACCTTTTATTTGCGCAGTCCAAACATTGTATATGCATGACGGAAAAATAACACTAATAAAACATATGTTCGTCGTATCATTATATTTTCAGACCAACTGTTTTAGGAAATGTTATTAAACGCGACAAGTTAAATAGGAACTTATTGTTGGTTATTCATCACTTGGATTTAATATTCTTCATTCACAAAAAATAAAACTTTGTTATGGCTGGTACTAACTTTAAATGTATGATAATTCAAGAATACTTCATTATTATAGATCAAATATAAATTTATCCCCGAAACTATGTAAAAAAGGTAAAATCAAATATTTGCCCGCATGAATAAAGCCAACCGTAATGGTACAAGGCAGTAGCGAAAGTGCCCATTCACAGTACTTTTTCACCTCCTAGGCGTACGTTCACAATAAAACCAACATAATGCCTCTGGTGAGTTAAGGTGGTGAGCGGTTAAAACGGGTTGCGCATAACAAAAAAGCCGTAATAATTATTTATAAATGTATACACATAATAGTTTATATGACATTATGGTATAGGAAAATATGTGACATATTTTCAAGCATTATAATTAACTTTTTAAGAGACAAACTGAAAATTCAATTTATCTATGAGTGGACGGGAAGAAATAACTATTTTAACAGAATTTGATATAATAAATCATATAAATTATATAATCAATAAAGTAAAATTTATAATTATCATACAAGTCATAATAATTCATATAATCAATAAAACAAAAATTATGATTGTCATACATGTCATAATAATTCATTTAAACAATAAAAGAAAACTTATCAATGTAGATATATCAAGAAATAATTACTGAGCCGATGTTTTCTCTAATCTAAGTATACATTTATTCAATCACAAATATCATTTACGTTTTGTTTTGTTTTTAGTTCTAAGTTAAGTTTTTAAATTTATAGACTTCTTAAATAAATTATCTGTTGAATTTGCAATATCTTTATAGTATAAAATACGGTACGCATACCCGGTAGCTATCTTTGTATTTCAGCATTTAGTGATGAAATATGTACAATATTTATTTTGCTTAACATAAAAATTTAATTTAATTTTATATAGTTCTGGGTTTAGTTTTTAAATACATAGACTTCTTAAATAAATTATTTGTTAAAGTTTCAATATCTTTACACTATAAAATACGGTAGATATATTTCTTTCCTAAAAATTTGATTAAAATTAGCTGCTCAATAGTAATACTGGCAGCACATTTGAATATTTTTGAAATGGACGGACATATTTTTATTAAGGTGAGTAGTTTTTGAGTATTGTTTTTAATATAATTATTATTTTTGTATACATTTATAAAACTTGTCTTTAGTTTCGTTGAATAAGCTTTTTCTAGATTTCACATGGTTGCTTAATTAATAATAATAATAATAAACCCAACGATTACCCTCCTCCCGCCTAACCGACGCGAGGGGCGCAGTCCGCATACGTGCGGAATTAGCCGAGTCAGAAAAGGCAAGAGAGTTTTTTAAGTGTTGAGATCTAAAACTGCTCAGCTACAGAAACAAAAATTTCAACAGCTAAGATCTAAAGTTACAATATAATAAATTGTTATATTTTCATTTATTAAGAGAAAACAATAAAGTCTTTTTAATTTTGAAGAGTGAGTCAGATAAGTCAAATGTGCTGGAATGAGAATTAAAATCATGACATATACGGCGGAATGGCTCGTTTAGTTCAAAATTTGATCCACAGGATTTTAGCAGTAAAGGTCTAAACTGCCTCGAAAGGCGATCCGGGATATTAAATTTAATTTCAGACAGGAGAAAAGAACTGCAAACAGTTCCATTCAAAAGTTTCACTAAGAATATTATGCCAAGCATTTCCCTACGACTAGAAAGTGTAGGTAGATTAATAAGTTTTAAACGACTAGTGTATGGAGGTAGACTTAGCCTAGCATCCCATCGGAAATGCGCTAAGGCGAAAAGTAAAAATTGTTTTTGAACCGACTCTAACTTGTCAGAATGGATTTGGTAGCTGGGGTTCCATACCACAGAGCCATATTCCAATATAGGTCTAACCAAAGTTGTATAAAGTGTTTTAGTAATATACGGATCTCTAAATTCTTTAGACCAACGTTTAACAAAACTGAGGACAGCTTTTGCTTTCAAGACCATGGTATCAATATGAAGACTGAAATTAAGCTTAGGGTCAATATTAACTCCCAAATCAACATAGTTAAAAACTTGTTCTAGAATATGGTGTTTTATTACATAAGAAGAGGGGTGCACAGATCTACGGGAAAAGCACATCGTCTTACATTTATTGAGATTCAATGGCAAATCATTTCTATCACACCATGCAACCAAATTGTTTAAGTCTGTTTGCAACAGACACCTTTCCTCAGTTGAAGTGTATGATTTAAAAAGCTTTACTTCGTCAGCGTATAATAAAATTTTTGAGAATTCTATTACTGAAGAGATATCGTTAATAAACAACAAGAACAGAATCGGGCCAAGATGACTACCTTGCGGAACACCTGAAGAAACATTAATTGTATCTGAAGATGTATCCTCAAATATCACTCGTTGTGTTCTATTATAAAGATAGGAAGATACCCATTGAAGTTTATGTATGAGAATCGAGATATTTACTTTATCGAAAGCAGAGAATGTTGATGAGTAGAGAAGGAGCAAATGTTAAATGAAAACTTTTTGAGTACTAATTTGTAATTCCACAAGAGGGAACATCGAAAAGTATAACTTCGAAAAAGAAAAATACACCACACAATATGCGAAATGCTATAAATAGACACAACGAATATTCCTATATGAGAAATCGTTGCGCATACCTATTTAGATTTATGTTTTCAATTTCTATGATATGACAAATTTATAATTATGAAAAACCTTTTGAATTAAAAATCTGTATTACCGGTAAAAACCCCAGAATTCATAATAAAATAAACATTTAATAGGCTATTTTTCCAACTTATGTATGTGCGTTATGTGAGCAATTGCTTATTGAACAAAGGATAACAATAATTCGGTGGCTAAGCGGTCGCGTTTCCACTTTTGTGGTGGCTGAGGTCGTAAGCGGGAAGGAGTTAAGCTCATTCCGCATACGAGCATATACGTTCGAATCGTAAAATACATAAAATTAAAATTGTATTTAATTTTTTTATTTTATTAATTGGAATCTAAGCATATCATAATTCAATTACTTTAATAGCATATTTTACTTCCTGATATAATTAAAATATATCAGGAGAATATGTTCATATGTTTAGGTTTATTGAATATTTCCTTATTATGCGTATTTACACAAATGTGATAATCACACATACATTCATGAGTACACGTACGCTGATGCTTGCTTCTTCTTGCCCCGCACAAGCAATGACTTTTGTCCAACTTTTGCTTTTGCGAGTTGAACGATCGCAGGCAAGGAGGATTGGGGCGCACTGCCACATAATTATTTCAGATATATATTTTATTTATCGAATTTAGTTTAAAACGATTATAGGTATGCGTTTAGGTGTATTTATATATATATATAATATATATTATAGTACGAAAATAATTCATAAATGCATCAGTATTTTAATACAAATTAAGCAACATAATAATACTAAGAGTCCTCAGTTAGAACGCCTCTGTGTATAGTGGCAAGCCAACGAAATAACGGCGAGTTCGCGCAGACATTGTGTTGTTGAAAGTAACCAAATGACGACAAACATACATATATACATATGAGCTCGCATACATATTGACGCCGAATTTTGCGCATCGTGGCGGAGTTGACAAAATTTGTTTCAATCGACAATTTTACGACAATGTCGTTCGGCTATGTTGTCTCGTTTGTCCTTTTGCAGGGCTTTCCTGTTGAAAATTGACTTATGCTCTTTGAAATATTGCGATTACGATTGGGCTGCATTTTCATAGCGTCGTATTTGGATAAATGGGCTAAATCGACAAACTATGAAATAATGATAATAAATAAACTATAAAAGTACTATATGGACTGTGCTTAGAATATATAGAAGTAGTTAATGATTTCATATGAATGGAAATTTAATATAAATTTTGTAATTTAATGCCATAAATAGTGCATAATATGCAAAAATATAATATTATTTAAATTCGCTAAGAGGTCATGTTGCCAATTCTCCTTTTGAAGTGAACATCAGACAAATTCTTCAATTTCTGATTTTTAGCAAATGTTGTGAGGAAGCAGCTTGTGGGCAACATACAAACGCGAGGGGATGGTAGGATTTTCAGTGATACAAATTGTAAATTGAAATTTTGCTGATTCTTCAATTTTACTGAAGACATTCAAATTCAATTTCATTCATTTTTATTTTCGCGCATTTGCGGTAGGAATTCTATATGAAACCAAATGTGGTTTACCAGGCGCACAGAAAAATAGCGCGGCGCAGAGTTATGAACGAACGCACTTTGCTTTGAAGCAGCGCACGTTCCTTATGAATGAATTTGTTGTCGTTGTAATATGAAATACTTAGAATATGCCGCGAGTTCGCTTGAATATTATTGGCCGATGATGGTGCGTCTACGTTTTTGTCACTTGCGCGAATGTTTGATTTTTGCGAAAGACATATTGAGGTACATACATATGTACATATGTGTACATATATGCAAATATATATGGACATGCGAATGAAGGAAGGCAATTTCAAGAATATTCACATATAGACATATAAACATTGAAGCAAGTAAACAACAATAGCTGTTTGAGTTCACAGATTAGACAAATATGTTCTAATATGATCTGTGGTGCTGCTTGTATAGCACACTTCCTTATTGCAATGAAATGTTTTGCCTAAGTTCAAATCCTATCATATTTTTATATATTATACTATTTTTATTTTATAACTTTATGAAATGATATTTGAATTCTATTTTAATATTATTTCCTGATTATTAATATTTTCCTGTCAGAAGTCAATTTCTTTCGTTTTTATTATTTAAAGTTTTGTTTATGCGCATATCAAAGAACATCTGTGCATATGTATGTGTATACATTTTGCTTATAGAGTGGTGTAGTTCGTTTCGTACCCTGATAGTTGTGGTGAAATTTTATTTTCCAACTGGCGCGTTTTCGATGTTCCTCCATCGTAATTAACATTTTAGTACTGCTAACATTTGCTCCTTCTCTACTCATTTACATTCTCTGCAACTAGTTAGCGAATTCGTAGTTGCCAGAATGTTATAGAACCAATGTTTTGTTACAGATTTACTATATAAGGGCTACCGGATTGTGCAGCAAACACAGTTCTAGTTAGAGTGTTGTCGTGATAAGAGCAGTTAAGTTATAAGCAAGAAGTTGGAAGCTCGAATAACGAGCAATTAGTGTTAAATTGTTGG